GAGAGGCCACTGCACTCCGGTCTGGGCGACAGAGTGAGACTCCAACTCAAAAAAAGAAAACAAAAAAAAACACCCAAAAACAAACGGTGGATGTGGTGACAGGCTTGATGCTGGGAAGGTCTCAGTCCTCTCACCTGATAAATGGGAGAAATATGTCCTGCTTGGTTGCCTCTTATCTCTTGGTAGTATTATGAATATTAAGTATGAGGTGATTATCTAGAGAAATAGATGTGACAGTTAATTGTGTCCACTGGGTAGGCTATGGTGCCCAGTTATTTGGTCAAACACCAGTCTAGGTGTTGCTGGGAAGGTCGTGTTTTATTTTATTTTTTTGAGTCGGAGTCTCACTTTGTCACCCAGGCTTGAGTACAGTGGCATACTCACGGCCACCATAGCCTCAACTTGCTGGGCTCCGGTGATCCTTCTGCTTCAGCCTTCCAAGTAGCTGAAAGCATAGGTATGTGCTACTAAGCCCAGCTAATTTTTTCCATTTATTGTAGGGATAAGGTCTTGCCAAGTTGCCCAGACTGGTCTTGAACCCCTGGGCTCAGGTAATTGTCTCGCCTCGGCCTCCTGAAGTTTTGGGATTACAGGTATGTGCCACCACAGGTGGCAAAGGTGGTGTTTCAAATGGAATTAACGACCCGGCTCAGTGGCTCAGCCTGTAATCCCAGCACTTCAGGAGGCTGAGGCAAGTGGATTGCCTGAGTCCATGGGTTCGAGACCCACCCGGGCAACCTGGCAAGACCTCATCTCTACAATAAACAAAAAATTAGCCGGGCATGATAGTGCGTGCCTATAGTTCTGGCTACTTGGAAGACTGAGGTGGAATGATCGCATGAGCCCAGCAGGTCGAGGCTGCAGTAGCTGGGAGCATGGCACTGTACTCCAGCCTGGGCGACTGGGGTGAGACTCCAACTCAAAAAAACAAAACAAAAAAAATAAATGGGATTAACATTTAAGTCAGTAGACTCTAAGTAAAGGAGATGACTCTCCATCATGTGAGCTGGCCTCAACCAATCAGTTGAAAGCCTGAAAAGATGGAAGTTTTTCCAAAGAAGGAACTCTGGCTGAGCACGGTGATCCCAGCACTTTGGGAGGCCAAGGTGGGAGGACTGCTTGAGCCCAGGAGTTCGAGACCAGTCTGGATAACATAAGGAGACCTTGTCTCTACAAAATATCATCCTCTTGCCTTCGCCTCCAAAGTGCTGGGATTACAGACACGAGCCACCACACCTGGCTTTTTTGTTGTTATTTTTGGAGTCTTACTCTGTCGCCCAGGCTGGAGTACCCAGCTAATTTTTTTATTTATTGAAGAGACAGGGTCTCACCATGTTGCCCAGGCTGGTCTCAAACCCACAGGCTTAGGCAATCCTCTCACCTCGGCCTCCCAAAATGCTGTGATTATAGGCTTGAGTCACCACGCCCGGCTTTTTATTTTTAAGGTAGATTCCAGCAATGTTGCTCAGGCTGGTCTCAAACTCCTGGCCTCAAACATTCCTCCTACCTCAGTCTCCCAAGTAACTGGGACTACAGGTATGCACCACTGTATCTGGTTGCCCCTTTTGTGAGCACTTACTGGGTGCCAGGCGCTTGCTAATCTCTGCGTGGGTTGGTCCTCCAAAAACTCCGTGGCATAACCTGTGGTTGGTCCCCTCTCACAGGTGAGGAAGTTGAGGCCCAGACTTGCCTGAGGTCCTGGAAGTGACAAGGCCTGTTTGGATCCAAGCAGCCCCACCCCAGTGCCTACATGGAGTAGACGCTTGCCTGGGAACACGTGTGAGAAGCTGAAACAATAGGCATGACACAAATGACAAGTGATGTCACTTTAGTTATTACTCCTAGGACGGGTGGGGGAAGAGGAAGGGACAAGGGTTCCCGCAGGAGGGTCCTAAGAACGCCAGGTCTTGCAGGTGCTGTTCTGGGAACAGCCACAAGGTGGCGCCAAGCTGCACAGGCCGCTCCAGGATGTCAGGTCAGGACTGGGCAGTCTTGAACAATTCTCGAGGATTTGGGGACTAGACCCCTCCCACAGGGCTGGTGGGCCTGGGAACCCCATTCCACAGTCCAGGGCTCCCAGGCCCCAAGGCCCAGCATTGGTGATGCCCACCTGCAGAGGTGCAGTTGGGCGGTCACAGCCTGGGCACAGGGTCCAGCCCAGCGTCCTTCCATGATGCTGGGGTGGTCCAGGGCAGGGAGGACCCTGAGCCGGTCAGGTCACCACGCAAAAGCTCTGGGTGATCCGCCGCCAGAGGTTGCGACTGGGGCTGCTGAGAGCCACCTCGGCGGCCTCCTGGAAGACGGCGTGGACATTGTCATGCAGCCGAGCTGAGCACTCGAGGTAGGCCACCGCGCCCACGGACCTCGCCACCTCCTGGCCCTAAAGAGAAAGGTGGTCGGGGCTGCAGGAGGCCAGGGCGCTGGGGAGCCTCACGCCTGGCTTCTCTACAGCCCTTCTGGCTTCCTGGGGTTCCCAGGACAAGGGCACAATATAGGGTTTGCTGGCCACCCACCACACCTTGATTTGACTAAGCACTCTCATGCACTTCATGGTGTTTCCTGCCTCAGCTCCTGGCTGGGCCTCTCTGCCTCTCAAGGCACCCACTAAGTGACTTCTGATCCACACAGGTACGTGGCAGAGAGTGGCCCAAAGACTGAATGACTGGGTATCCTCTCCAGACCTCAGTTCCCCATCTGAGTGGGCAGCCTACCCCTGATAGGCATACCCCTTGTTTTCCCTTCTATGGATGGAAGCTTCCAGGGTATTCCAGGGACTATTTCCAAGTGCTGGCAGTTCCTGGCCGTAGATATCCCCTAAGACACCCCTGCCCTGGATACCTGGTGCCACTGAGGTATGCAGCGATGCCCTCTCCCCCTCCCCCGTCCTGCCCCACCTCACCCCCAGCTGGGTTTCCTACCCTGTGGTAGGTCACGGGCTCCTGTCCATTTTTCCGCAGCCTCTTCACCAGCAACTTGTCTTTGCGCAGATCAGTCTTGCAGCCCACGACGATGATGGGCACTTTCTTGCAGAAGTGATTCACTTCCGGGTACCACTGTGGGGAGAAGGAGCATGTATGTGAGCCATCGGAACTCTGTCCTTCTCAGCGGGCCACTCTCCTGCTCCCCAGACTGGATGTCAGTAACAAGAGTCAGCACAGCCAACTTCTAGGGAGAAATGACTGGGTGTCAAACTCTCCTCAGAAGCTTCATGTAGAGGCTGGGCACAGTGGTTCATACCTATAATCCCAGCACGTTGGAAGGCCCAGATGAGAGGATTGCCTGAGCTCAGGGGTTTGGGCAACTTGGTGAGACCTCGTCTCTACAATAAACCAAAAAATTAGCCAGGCGTGGTGGTGCATGCCTGTGGTTCCAGCTACTTGGAAGGCAGAGGTGGAAGGATCGTCTGAAGCCCAGCAGGTCAAGGTTGCAGCGGCTGTGAGTGTGCCGCTGCACTCCAGCCTGGGCAACAGAGTAAAACTCTGACTCAAAAAAAAAAAACAAAAACAGTTCACAAAATGGCTGTGGCCGTTATCTCCCCCAACTATTTGCCAGGTGGAGGGAGGGAGACTTTGTGGAGTCTGAGGCCAGCAGGGTCGGGTTACCTTAGCATGGACCACGAGTGGGGGAGAAGAGCAGAAATCCAGGGATGGGCTTGTCTCCATCCGGGTCTCACACCTGCTGGGTTTGCCTGTGCAGGCATCAAACGTGCCAGACAAGAATTGGCATCAAATAGTCTCACTCCTGGAGCCAGATGGGACCGATGAGGGGTCCTGGGCAGACTTCTCACGCCTTGATTCATCCACCAAAACTGCCCTTGAAGAGGGTCTCCTTGGTGACTCCACCCAAGTTCAACAGTGAGTTCTCGGCCGGGCTCCCACCTGAGCCCACATAACCTTGACACTGGGGATCTTCCATCACCCCATCTGTACCTTACCCTAGACCCGCTCCCTGGGCTCTCGGGGTCTGACCAGCGCTCCTCCCCTTTTCCTCGGGCCTGGGCTGCGGTCTCTCCTCTTCTACAGCTACTCTGGCTCCTGGGGTCGGCAGCTCCTAAGTGATCTCTGCCTTTACGCTACCCAACCCGGCCTACCCTGTCACGCAGCTGCCTCTGCTGGGGTGACCCCCAGGCCTTTCATCTTCCCGTCCCCTACCACCTCCAGCTCGCTCCTTTTCATCCCGGGAAATGGCGATTCCAGCCTCCAGCTGCTCTGGTCAAAACTCCTCCCTCCCGCCCCCACCCAATCCATCAGTAAACCAGAGGGCTTCCAGATTCAGAATCCACCCCCTTCTCACCACCCCCACTCTAGCACCCTGGTCCCAGCAACGCCGTCTCTCCTGGTCCCCAACACCCAGACAGAGCCTGGCATATCCATGTGAGCAGTCATGGTTCTGAATGAATGCATGGCACAGACTGCCTGGGTTCAAACCCCAGGCTTACCACTCTAATGGATGGGTACCTTTGGACAGGTGAGTCCATCTGGGAATAATAACAGTATTTGCTCCATCAGGTTGGTAGGAGGAAGTGATAAGTACATGCAGGCTGGGCTCAGTGGCTCAGCCTGTCACCCCAGCACTTTGGGAGGCCGAGGCAAGTG